CTACAAGCACACCATTTAAATTCTGCTTGTGTTTAGCAAGACAGGTATTTTTGATACCTGAAAACAGTGTAATTCTGAAGTGGAACACTTAATACAGCAGAAGAGTATAGAGTCAAGTTCTGCTATTTCTGTGAAGAATATTTCATGAATGTATCTATTGTTTTTGATGGGATGATTTGCACATATACCAAATGAATTGGGCGCATGCAGTCTATACTTTAATTTAGAAAACAGAATAATGTGCTAAATACAAGAAAGGAAGGCGTGAATGTATGGCTGTGTAAAAACATATATAAGAGCATGATATATGTTGTGTTATAGATACTAGAATCTCAGATCTAATTATGCTAATTTTTTTTTTTTTTTTTGGTAACAGATCAATTTCTTTATTACTAACTTGCTCCAGTGGCTGATCTTGCACCGTCCTTTCCTTTGTCAACAGAACTGTTCATTATTTTTTCCTTGGCATCTGAAGGTCCATTTTAAGCAAATTGTGCCTCACCCCATTGCAGGTGATGCCATGTCAACACTAACAACAATGTTTTTTCTTACTACATTTATATCCTTCCTTTCCTCGTCTTGCAAGGAATGCTGGATCGATTATACCATTCTTCTCCACAAAACCCCTTTGAGGTAGGTTAGGCTGACTGATCCAAAATCACCCAGTGAGCTTCATGGCCAAGCGAGGACTAGAGCCCTGATCTCCAGTGTTCCAGTTCATTAGACTTTCCCTAATGTTGATTTACATAATGGAGTTTTTTGTCTCTCCCTCCCTCTCCTAATAGCCAGACACTAGCATGGTTATCTTCAAGCACACACAAGTACTTGACATTCAGAGCATCGCACAGCTTGATCTGTATTGGAAGTTAGAGGTGAGAGAATGGTTGATTTGGGGCTCTTAGGAGTAAACAATAGAATCTCCCTGTTCAGTTATAGCGCTTTTCTACAGGTGGCTGTTAATCCTCTGCTTCTAGTTTCATTTTTGTGCCGAAATTGTAGTCCACACACTATGTGAAGAGCATCTCCTTTCCAGATTTTAAGTTGTATAACCTCTAGGTGGCACTGTGGGTTAACAAAATAGTGCAAATACACTAGAAGAGATAATACTTTCTTTTGCTAACAGAAATTACCTCCCATATTCCCTGCTCTAGAAGATTCACAGGAAATGCTGTTTATAACCAGAAGTGAAACTGGAGGGTCAGGGTGTCATCTAAGGAACCTGTAAACAATTACAAGTAGGAATGGGGAACACAACAAATGCCTTGTGTAAAAGCTCATATCATACTGGCTGCAAGCAGAGGAATGTTATTACCTTTGTGCCTACCTTTTGAATTTCCCAGAGTAATTTGGGCAGCCTCTGTTGGAGTGCTTGATAGGAGGGACTTGGTAGGAGGTATGCAAAAAATTCTGTGTCAAAATAGATATTATTGCCTCCCATACCTATGTGTCATGTATGTAGAAATGTGAAGAAGACAAAGCTGACAGATTTAGAGCAATGCCCTCTTTGGCTAGGCAGCATGGCACATTATCCCATGGATTTGGGTATAATACATTGAGCCTTCACATTATCCATCTAGCTTAAAGGACATAAAAAGTGAAAGAAATAATAGAGGAGGAGGAGGATTGGCAAGAAGTGCAGACTATAAAAAAGAATCTTCCTTTTGTTTCATGCTATCATAATAGCACTTTGTGGGCTTGTGTAGGCTTGTACTGTTGAGCACGTGAGCTCAGAGAGGGGAGAAAAATTCCAGCATGATTTAGCTCAAAACACCAGCAGAGCTTTTCTTTGAGAAAGATGCAGGGGTCATGAAAATTAACCAGAGTAGGCTGGCTAAGCAGTAGGATTCCTCCTCCATGCCTAATGGAATCAATTTTTTAAAAAACAACAACAACCAGTATTCTAACTTAGCCTGTCAGTGCCAATTCTTAAACATTTTAACCTATAATTACATTAGGTGAAATGCGTGATTAGCAGAACTATCTTGAAAAAATGTAACTTTCTTTCTCCCATTCTTTTGCACTCTCACATATATCCAGTATTAGTTCAGCCTTCTGGATGGGGTGAAAGGGCTGTGCAGTGGTGGGGCTTGTGGAGTGAGCATGCAGGCATCTTGGAAGAACGACCCTCGTGTAGAAACAGGTTTCAAGCCATGCAGATCCACTGCAGTGAGGCTCCCATGGGCTTCTGCTGTAGGAAGTCAACTGGAGTGGAGAGAAACTCCATTTAACAATGGTGCACAGAAATTGTGTGTATTTGCCATTTCAGGATCCTATGGCAGCAGCCTGATTTGAACAATAAAATACACACAAGCTTGCTTAGGTATGTTTGCCAAGCTGAAGTTAGCCTTCCACAATCTTGATTCTTCATTGTAGCTGGTAGATTTGTGCTTTCCTCTGTGCATGCATGTCTGCGTGTTTATAGAACAATTTGTTGGAATGCAGCTCTCTTCATTCCCAGAAAGAGAGTGAGAATATCAATGTGGAGGGCTTTCTATCTCAAGTGGATCTGTTCTCGTTCAGCATGTGTTGTCCTTGCCAATTTTTTTGTGAAATAATTTTTCAAGGAAACATTGAGTTGATCAATTGGGAAGAAAAATGTTTTGGAAAATGATTGATAGTAAAAATACTGTTAGACTAATTATTCCATTTCCATAGGAAAAGTTATCTCGCTCTTTCTGTGTGTGGTGATGGCAATGGTGATTTTGCTAAAGGTCATTTTCTTCTGCTGACACTACTCTCTTATTCTTTCACCTCTGGCTAAGAGAAGTAAATTCAGATATGTCAGAGTAGAACGAGAATGTGTTAGCGAGGTGACATGCCAGTACTTTCTGGCTTGTTTAAAATGTTAATAAGATGGACAGTGGAAAAGGAAACATTAATTTGTTGGAAACTTTATATCTTGCCTTGATGAATGAATAATCTCAAGGCAGCTGTCAGGGAAAACAACAATAAAAGAATCAACATTGAGCTAAAACTGGCAAAAGTCAATAAATGGCATTGCATTAAGACCACATTCAGCTGACATCTATTTACAAGGGCCTGAGAAAAAAAGATCTTTGCCTGTTGGTGAAAGGACATTGCAGTAGAAGCCAAATTTCCCAGGAGAAAAGATCCTGAAAGCAAGATGCTGTAGCTGAAAAGGCCTTCTTTCTGGTGTCACCCACCTAATTTCAGGGCACCCAGAAAAGGTTATCGAACCCTTCTAATGCAAGAGACACGGGAGGCAGATGTGAGAGAAGACATTCCCCCAAGGACTCAGGTTCTCTGCTACAGCAAGCTTCAAACATGAACACCAGCACTGAAGTCACTCAGAACTCATGGAATATATTCCCCGTGCCTGATCCCAGTTCACAATGCAGAAAAATTGAAACACCTGAGACCTCCTCATAGGTAGCCTCCACTTAATGCATAGCTAAAAATCTAATGTCTGTATTACTAAAATGCAGATTACAGAATGTGGCTGCCCATTTGTAAAAGTTGGCATAACCAATTTCTGCTGGTGGCAGGTGTGATGTGCCATGGAGGCCATTTGACTTTCCAGCAACAAAACTGGATCAACTAGTGTTTCCCAGATTGACAACTTCAGCCAGTAAGCAACATTTTGGGACCAAGGGCTGCATCCCCTCAGGTGAAAATGCTTAAGGGATGCATTCTGGTAGTGCTTCGAGATTAATCCAAAAATAGGGTGTGGTCAGAATAAAAGGGATGCTCCAGCCATTTTTTATCTGCCCTTCATTCTTCAATCTATAACTCTTCTGTTCATTCCCCACCCCCACCCTTGTTAGCAGCTCACTTTCCTTGCATGCCAGATTTGGAAAAACAGGGTATTCTTTCTCTTAGCATAGCCAGCAAGTGGGGAAATTAATCACTAAAACAAGCATTATGTAGTCTAGCGGCTACATCCTATGTTCACTTTTATTCTGCAGTAGATGTAATGGGCTCAATGAGACCTTAAAAGCCCCCTGTATCCCATGCTTGGCTGCCAATATGAATTGGGTACCCTGTCTCTACTTTGGAATATATTTTTAAAGCATCTCCCCTCCCCCAAGTAAACACATAGCAGCTGAACACCGAATTTAATATGAAATCTGTTTTGGCAACCTGGAGAACCTGCTTCCCTGCCAGCAGCTCACTTCCCTTTCATGCCAGACTTGGAAGAACAGTCTTCTCTTTCTCCCAGCCTAGCAGGGAAGGACAAGCAGTAGGAAGGCAACAAACTCTGGCCATGATGGGGGAAATTTGGGAGAGTTAGCTCTGGATCCAATTGTGAGCTGCCTGTGTGTGCGTTTAGTAGGACAACTCCATCCAGATCAGGGTGAATACCACTTCCTAGGTTATGCCAAGTTCTGTTAACGACAATTCCATCTTTGGTGTGAGCCACCCCTTCCCTGTAAGCTTTTTTCACTGTGTATTGAGAAGCATATCAAGGGATTTGAATAATTAGAATTATTTGGACTAATCTGATATTTAGGAAGGAAGGAGGGCAGGAAGGAAGACAGCCCACCCATCTGTAGGAGATCTATATTTTCTATCTAGTTTTAAACCTGCTACTCATGCCAGGTTTAGGCAGCCTGCTGTGGTGTGGAGCTTGTCAATTTTATTACAAATCAAGGCTTTTCAGCATTGTGTGTCCCTTGTTGAACATTCTGATGCCTCAAACACAAAGTAGCCTTTGATCAACACTCCCTTCAAACTAGGCTTCTTCCACCCAGTTGTGTTGGACTCGGCTTCCATAATTTCTCCCCAGTATGGACAATGTCCACTCTCTGTATGGACATAGTTGCCTATTACAGTGCCCAGTATGGAAATTGTGGTCTAATGCAACTGAAAGGCACTAGGTTAAGGAGGATTTTCTTGGATATTCAGTGGCATTTACGGGGGATCTTCCTCACCATGGTGGCTGCTCTGCCTTGGAAGTTGACCGAACAGGTCTGGCATCTCTGTGCACAAATGTTTTTGGCATGTGAGGGTGCTAATTGCTTCTTTTTTCTGTGTTTCAGAAAAAAGCCTGGCAGACAATAAAAACAATTGTCAGTTTGCCAGTCATCAGCCCCTTCAAGAAGCGCTACTCTTGGGTGCAGCTGGCTGGCCACACAGGTGAGAATCTTCTTTTATTTCTTGGCAAGTAGGAAGTTTGTAATCAAAACTGTTAGTAAAAGTGAAAGGCTGAAAGGGTTCTCAAATTTATGTGCACCCTGCAGTTGAGCAGAAATGGTACTCTCTACCTGAAAGTGTCTTAATATTTCACCCTAAGTGTTCAGATGGTCTCTGGGGAGTGAGCAAGAACAAACATAAAGCTGTGGTTTATAGCTGATTTTAGAAAGCCACTCACTCTGGGCTTCGTGATTAGGCAGCATGTACCTTTAAATAATCAAATTAATAAAGATGGATATAGGTCAACCCTTTTGTTCAGCAGAGAGATTATAAACTCCCTGTGTAACCTCTGAGTTTCCAAGAGAATCTTGAAAATGGTGGATTTTATATAACAAGACATTTGTTTTTCCCCCACCTTTGCCAATGCACACAGCCCTGGACATGGGCTCAGTGTTTCTGTCAGGCACAAACAGCAGAGGATTGATCATGAAAGCCAGCATGAAGTTTAGAAACAAAATACTTGTAATCATAGTCCATTTTGTGATTTTCAGAAGACACTCCATGCATTAAAAGTATAAACCATGCTTTAAATGGTTGTGTTTTCACCTAGCTGAGTGGAAAATTCGGCATTCAAGGTAAGATTTGTCTACCCCACTAGCCTGACAGCTGCATTTTCTCCACAGATGTAATCAAAAGCAAAACACATACATTATAATTGGAGTCCAGACCTAAGTTGGCATTGTATATCCGCATGATATAATGTTTCCCTTGGATTTTCTTGGATTTACATGCTACAGTCCACCTGCTCATATCTTTCTATTACCACATGATAGTTCCTTTTACTTACACTCTGAAATTAGCAAGAAGCCACTGCTGGAACATGCTGTAGGTACGCTTTGTAAAGAACTTCAAAGCAAAGTTTGGGAAGATAGTAAGCAGCTGTTCAAGCTGGTTGTGTTTAAGATAGAAATTGCCTGACTCTTTCTTGGCCAGGTTTTTTTCTGGCTTCATGCAATTCATGCTTTTCTGTTGTAGTAACTATGGGAAGATGGAAGCACAAGTCAACAGAATGATACACAGGTTTCTGAGGAGGGAGAAGAGAACTGGGAAGAATTTCCTTGGATATAGTCTGTGTGTTTACTAGGAAGTGGATTAATGTGATCACAGCTAGACTTACTCTTATTCCAAGAGAGCTCCATGAGTCCTTGTGCTAATTGCATAGAATTCTGAGATTGTAAATAAACTAGACCAATTTACAATGCCATTATTTCGTATTAGATTCAGCCTCACTTTCTGCCTTCTGGAGCATGGATTAATTTCAGGAGATATGGATTACTAGCTTAGATAAAGGATTCCTCTCTGACATTGAAGTCACCTCTACAATTCTAAAAGTAGCTTCTGCTGGGCCTCTGCTCAAGGAACGAAAGTAGTGTTGCTCATACTGGATACTTTTGGAACCTCAGAGTAGTCAAACTATGTTGCTGGGAGGTCCTAAGAGTGTGATACAGTACCTAGAGGAGAGCGTACGTACATGGCCATGTGCGTGCAAGTTCTCCAAGTGGATGGCTTGGCTTCTTGACTTGGGTACTGGACAACAATGACTGAGTGATTGCTTCTCTCTTGCGTGCCAAGAGTAGGTACAGCATGGATCTCAATTCAGAGCAGTGGGGTCTTGCATAAATACAGTCGTTGAATCCAGCTATCAGAACAATAGCATAGTTTGGCCTGATAACTTTCTGTGCTGGCTTTTGTATCTGGACTTAAACATGCCTATATGTTCATTGTAGACATTTTAGCACAGGATTCTATCCAAACCAATTTTTATATCTGGACACTGTTTGCATTCTTTTTATAAGGCATATGTTATCTTTCCAGGGAAGTCTGTTAAATGGAAGGTAGCAGTTGAACTGGGAGGAGAGGCCTTTCATTTTTAGCATACTGAAAGTTGTTTTCCATGGTGATTCTGTTTACTGCAGGGAGTTTCAAGGCAGCTGATCCTGGGACGATCCTGAAGCGCTACTCTGAGAATGAGGAGAAGTGTTTTGAGCTGCTGATGAAAGATCCACTGAGTTCCTGTGTTCCTGTCTTCCATGGTGTGGTAGAGCGAGACGGAGAGTCCTATATACAACTGGATGACCTTCTAGCTAATTTTGAAGGGCCTTGCGTGATGGACTGTAAGATGGGAATCAGGTGGGAGCCCTTAAAAGCAACTACCACCTGCTCTCTTTGAGGGTTGGTTGTTATTTGTGATATAGCTGAGATGGGACACAGATGTTGCCTTTTTGCTGTTGGATAAGCCTGGTTTAATTCCATGTAGTTTACAACATGGTGCCCTCCAGATGCATTGAACTAAAAGTCCTGAATCAATATTGTAATGATCCTTGCTGAAAACGTGTCTCTCTCTCCCTCTCGCTCTCCCATGCCATTTGCTTTCTACAAGGTCACCATGCCCAGAAATCAAGTTTCAAATGGCTATACTCCAAATAAGCAGAATGTTGCCTGGAAAAATAGAAACTTCTCTTTCTCCTGTGAAAAATGGAAATGAATTGCTTAGGAAGTCTCACATCAATTATTCCTGAGAGAACATTCTTCATATTTCAGGGTTTTTCCCCTCAGGTCCAATGCTACAAGTTGAAAGTGGCAATCAGTCATCTCCCCCTTTCCCACAAATGGAAGTTTTAAGTAACTCTTAAGCAAAGTATTGTTGGAAATAATATTTAAAATTGTATTGATATTTTTAAAATTTGTTTGAAATTTCTTCCTTTAAATGAATGGTGTCTTTGTTCTGTGAGTGTTTCCAGGTAGAGCACTCCTAGCAAGTTTAGATAAATAAATTGTGCAGGTATTCTAACTTTCTTTCCTTAATAGATTCATTGTGGTAAGAAAAAAAGATGGAAGGAACAGTGAGGGTAATAAATGAAAGAGAATATTCCATTTTATTTAATTCTTATCAAATTCTAAATTTAAAGGAAGAGTTGATTACACATTAAAAGGCTTAGTTGGCAACACCATCTTTCTCCAGGTTTTATGCTCTCAAAGCAGCAAAGTCTTTTTAAATATCAGATGTTTAGGTGGCTCCCAGTCCTGTAGGATTTATTCAGATAAACTGATAAACTATCAAGACAAGGAAATCCTGCTATTTCTATCTTGGGTGACATTGACTGTACACAGGAAAAGTCAGGGTGCATACACAGTCAGTTTGCAGAGCCATATAATGTTAGTCAGTCGTGCTGTTTTTTCTTTTGCTTTTAATTTAGAACTGGCTTGCTTGTTCAGTTAAGTGACTGATTCAGGTATAAAACTTGAAAAACTTCTTTGCCTATGCATGTTTCTTCCTTTCCATGGCTATGAAGGATTCTGGCTGAGAGCTTTAAGTCCCTTCTTTGGTTGATCCAACTGCCCTTTAAAAACAATGTCAGCATCTGGAAGAGAGTTATGACTGTAGTTTTCTTTAGCAAATGTTGAACTCCAATGTGAAAGATGGCATGAAAAGCAAACTTATTTCTGCTTTAATTCCAAGTATCAAAAATGGGCTCAATGTCCGGTTATTTTTGCAGGACATATTTGGAGGAGGAGTTGACTAAAGCACGTGAGAAACCAAAGTTACGCAAGGATATGTATAAGAAAATGATCGATGTGGACCCCCTGGCGCCCACTGCTGAGGAGAACACGCAGCATGCAGTGACCAAACCCCGGTACATGCAGTGGAGGGAGACCATCAGCTCCAGTGCCAACTTGGGTTTCAGGATTGAGGGGATAAAGGTGGGGCCTCTTCCACTCCTTTGTAAGCATTTTCTAGATGTAGCAGGCCAGCATGTTTATAGATGCCTCCGTAGTGCAAGAAAGATGTCTTGGAGCATAAGCAGTCCAGTCAAACTCACCTACAGGTACTTAACAACAAGAAGAATGCCTGGATATAAAAGTGTGCAAGAGGAAGTAGTTAGAGGGGGTTGGTCAGTGATTCTTCCTGTTGAGCTAGAAATCAATTCTGAAGAGCATTCGGCTTTTCTCATATGAACTGCAATGCCTACACTTTCCCAAATCTATACAAGCCTTGTGTTATATCAGCTCTGCTTCTTAGCAACAATGGTGGGGAAAAGGGAACTTAAACAGCAGAACGCCATTTTGGAAATGGTCCAACTTGTGTGTTTTATCAGGTTTTTTAGCCCTAAAAAAACCCAGTTCTTCAGTGTTGTAGCCCACCCACAGTTTGTTCTCCCCGTAACCTATGAAATCATCACTTCACAGAAAGCTGAGTGTTCTTCCCCAACCGACCATATGTGTTAACCCGTTGGCCTAGTTCAGCCAAGGAGCCTCATTTTAAATTCAAAGACACATAGGAAGAAATGAAACCATTCATCTAAGATGCCAAATCCAGTGACATCAGGATGCAGAATATAAACAAGTGGAAGAGAGGTTACAGTCCCCTTCCCTGTGGTTGTACTGATTTCCTGAATAGGCCAGGGGATGCTCTACGACTCCGAAGTTGCCTGGACAAGCGTTGTGTTAATTCTTCTTCTCCCCAGGCAAGAACAAAAGAGAAGAATTGATAAAACCCCTCTCTCCCTCCGTTGCAGAGCCTCTTGGTTTGCAGGCAGGCTCTAACTCCTCCCTCCTTGAGAAATGGTGTATGTGGGGCAGGGTGTAAGGTGAAGCTCCCTTAGTAAGACAATTTTATTATCCCAGCAGAAGCAGCCTTATCTGCAAGGGAATTTAGGTCAAGTGCCCTTCCTAACAAGCTGAAGGCCTTTAAGTTCTTGGCATGGCTTCAACAAACTATCTTGGCTTTTGGACCCTGAGGAGCTTCACAACTGTTCCTGTTGAACCATAACAACCTCCTTCTTCTTCTGCTAGAGTCAGTGCAATACAGTATACTCAGAATATCAGGTTAGAGGCAAGGTGTTTGGATTTGTTACTCAAGATTCTTCTTACCCCCACCAAAAATAGTATTCACCACTTCCTTGCTTTGGCTCTATGTTTAGCTTTTTGTTTAATAGATAGATTTGGTGTTTTTGACCTCTGGATAACTACTGGAAGTATATTTTTCAACTGCTACTTGGTATTAAAATGGCGAGGGCACTTGTCCATTTTAAACTGTTGATCCATACAGGGGTTTCAGTATTAACAGGGTATAGTAGTTCAAACTCTTGACAAGAGACAGTATATCTTTTTAAATTTGGCTTTAAATTTGACTTTACGCTTCTGTAAATTTATATTTTCAATTGCATATTTTGATCTCTCTCACTCAACAATCTAAGTGTCACTTTTTCATTAGTTTTTCTTTTAAATAAGAAGGCATATTGATCTTCAGTATTTCATTTGCAGCTTGGAAGAGGAAACTCTGCTTCTGTATTATGAGAAACAGCTGTCAGCACAAACCTAAATTCCTAGCACACAAAATTTTTCATTAGTCTACCTGGTCACGTGTGCCTGTTGGTTGTTTGCAGTGTTTGGCTAGCCTAAAAGAAACATGTTTTCTAAGGGCTCTTGCCTGAACTTGTCAGAAGCAGCTGTCTGTTTACAAGCTTGTATTAATCCATGTTGAAGTCTGTAGTTCTGATCTGTAATGGAAGACGATTCTGGACATAGTTCCACCATAAAAACTCAGCACAGTACTCCCTGATTGTAACTGGAGTCCTTTGCTTAGGTTGGTTAACCTAGTCTTCCCCAACCAGATGCCTTCCAAATATTAGAGGACACCATGCTGGAAGCTGCAATTTACCACATCTAGAAAGACTGAATTAAATTTACTATAAAGCCAAGCTGGAAGCACTGCAATTGCAGGTGTGCTGTCTTCATCTGAGGAGTAGCAAGCCAGAAATGCTTAAATGTGACCTAGTGGGGAAAGCATCACGCTTAAATACCTCCACCCAGCATAGTTCTCTGATTGGAGGAGGGGAGTCTCCCCCAGATAGCAGCAGTGCCCAGCGGGCAGCACTTCTGAGGGGCTGCCCCTTCAGTGGAACCATGAACCGAACGAGTGTTGCCGTTTGGCTTCCTTCACACTGCTGGAGAAAAGTTCCCCCAGTGGTGGACGTTTGCTTGAAGGAAGCAGCCATGTCATCAGTCAGCTTGTATGTCAGTGTTTCTCTGAGTGGAGTTTTAAATTTTGCTGCTCTTAGTTCTAACATTCCAAAAGACACAAATAAATAATTAAAGCAACCTTTTGAACAGAAGGTGTGTTTCCCCTCCAGCCATAGGTCATGGGCTGACGTTGATGTTTAGCTCAAAAATATGGAGGATGCTGTCAGTCTCTCACTCCCCCCGCCTGTGCCCCTTGATCTCACACTGGTGTCGCAACATGTTGTACACAGCTAATGAGCTTCCTGGAAGCAGACAGAAAAGGATCCTTTCTCTGCACGCACAGGTTTGCTTTAGGGTATCGCTTTGGAGTTCTCCTAGATTTCTCTTCCCACAATGTGCCACTGCAGTTGTATAACTTTCCCATGTCTCTTCAGATGCCATCCATGTGTGTCTGAGCCTGGCCCACACTGTCAAACAAAACAAAGCAAAACAAAGGAGAGGCTATGAACTGAGAGGGTGTTGGACAAAGGGTTGTCATGCAGTTAACTGATTCTCCTTAAAGCTACTTTTGTCAGTATGGATGTATGCATGAATAAATTTGGCTGGCCATTCTACTCCAACTCAGAGCTGAGTTTTATCTGGGCACAGGGCTTTTACTTTGCTTCCTTTAATGGATAGAAGCATCCTTTCCTAACACAGTGGTCTTTTCACAGGTATTTACAGTCATTCATTATATCCCGCCTGCCCACCTACCTACCTTATCTATAATGGGCTAGATCCAGACAGTTATACTGAAGAGTAGACTGACTGAAACTGGTAGGACTTAAATTAGTCATAACTAACTGCAGTCCTGCTGATTTCACTGGGTCTGTTCTTAACTGTGACTAAGACTAGCTCCAACATAAAGTAAATTATGTCTTAAAAGGCATATATATGCATTGCTCATTATTTTGGTGCCATTATTTTGATTTTACAACCTCCTGGTTCTCTTCTCCCCTTTCCATGCTATCTTCACAAAAATCCTGTGAGGTTAGGTTCAGAGTGACTGTCCCAAAGTCACCCAGTGAGCTTCCTGACTGAGCTGGGATTTGAACCTGACAGTTCCTGACTGATGCTTTAACCCAGCCTTCCCCCATGAGGTGTCCTCCAGATACGTTGACTCACCCTCACCATCTCCCTTCAGGAAAGATACTGGCAAGGCAGGTTGGCAGTTCAAATTCAACACATCTGGAGGGCACCTCCATGGGAGAGGCTGCCTTAAACATGACCTAACCACTATTTATTGGTGTAGGTGTTAGCAGTGAGCAGGCAGCATTGGTTTAGCTGTCTTGAGGGAACTAGTTCAGCTGCATCTGAAGACTAGCCTTCCGATCTAAATGACTGGGCCTTGAATACACTGTTTTTAGTGCCTCTTCTGGGACTTCCCCTTCTCTTTCTCTAGTGCTGTGGCCTTCTGTTTTTTCTTCCCTCAGCTTGCAGAATGACCTGTTTTGTTTTCCCCTTTTTCATTTATATACAGAAGGCTGATGGGACTTGTAACACAAACTTCAAGACAACCAAGTCACAGGAGCAAGTTTTCCAGGTTTTTGTGGAATTCATTAAAGGAGATACAGTTATATTGGTAAGCCACACTTGAAAGCTTGCATTTTTTTTACACTTTCTGGGCCTTCACATTTTATTAAGTAATACGGATTAGCTAGACCCATTTCTGTCTGGCTTCTGGCTGAGGTTTGGATGAGACTTCCTTGGTCACTTTGTGAACAATCTGGGCTACAAAGGGGACTCCAGTGGGTTTCAGTATCATCAGCCATGATCTCTTTCTGGTTCAAATAGTTCTGTTGAGACTGCAAGGCACTGTTTTGTTTGGTTCCAGTCCTAGCCAGAGAGCACTGTTCAGAAGGTCATGCTGTGTTGTCACTGCTTGTCCTCTTGCCCATTAGCCTGTGGAGTTACACAGCATTCTGTCTTACCCTCCCTGCTCTTTCATACCTACTTGAAACCACAGGAAGAAGTTGTCCAGAAATTTGGAACGAAGTTCACCAGGATGCTGGTGGCACCAAAACTCACTCTGTCCATGTTCCACCTGATACCAGGCAAGCAGTGGAAAGAAATCTGGAGTCTGTATACAGGGCTTGTGATAGGCCGAGTGTGAGTTAACCAGCCGAGACTTAATCCAGGCAAGGCAGAGGTATTTGTGGTCGGTAGAAAGCTGATCTCAGCTTTGGGGATTCAGTCTGTTTAGCAATAGCACTCTATCTGAAAAAACAACAACTTTGCAGTCCACACCAAACCATGTCCCTGGGTGAACAGTTAGCAGCTGTGGTTAGAAATGCTTTTGCATACATTTGGCAGCCCTTTCCAGATAAGTGAGAGAGTTTCCACAACAGCCAGCCTGGTGAGTAAGCAACACAGCGTGGCTTGTTCATGGGACGACCCTGCTGAGCCCAACAGGTGATCTAGCTAGCTGTAGGTTGCTCCTCACTCCTTTCTCCTCAGTCCTCCAGCAGGTACCCCGAGTCCTTCTGGCATAACCTGTCTTGTCCCCCGCATTCCTGCTCTGATTCAACCTCTTTTTATTTGGCCCCTTTTATTTTTGTTTTGTTTTTGGAGCTTCAAAACTAGTCGGGCTTGTGGGGGCATTGACCCCAGAAATGTGTGCGAATCTACATGTTTTTTTTTTTTAATTTGGAGGAAGGGTGGGCCAGGCTTTTCACACTTGTGCATAGCGTTCCTGCAAGTGTGGGCATCCCTGGTCAGGGCCATTGACCACGCACTCCTCCCATTCGGGTGCCTTCTCAGGATTTTTTGACAGCCTCAGGGAAATGCAGTAGCCGCTCTGAAAAGGAGGAGTGAAAAGAGGGTGGCCTCGAGAGCTTTCCTTTCTGGACCACTTGGAAACTCGAGGAAGTGCAGAGAAGCAGGAGTGCACTGAGAAGCATCCTCTCAGCCCTGGGAGTCGAGAGGATTACATCGCAAGCCCTCCCCACTTTGGTGCATCTCTTGTTTCCTTTCGCCGGTGCTTCTCATCGGATTGCTACACAACTGCCAGCTGTTCCCCGTTTAGCCTGTATGTAGTCTTGTGCCCTTCATCTGTTAGCATTCAGCAGCTGAAGTGGGTGGTTGTGAGCAAGCCTCCGCACATTTCCCTTCCAGCAGATCAGGGAGAAAGATTCTAACCTCAGTCCTTTATTGAGTTAGACTGCCTTTGTAATACAGAGTGAGTAATATCAACGTAATGAACAAGAAGTGTCTATCAAGTTAATGAATCTCTGATTGCAGAGTTAGTTCTTGCCCACACCAGAAGCTGGTTCCAAGCTGCATTCCCTCCCTCCCCAACCTCCGCAGAAGGTTCATGCTGCTTGTGGGCCAGATGGTGGGAATGCCGGATGTTACTTAATGGAATTGCCTGTTTGACTTGATGACAGACCTCCGGGCTGATGAAGTCACACGCCTCCACCTCTGACCCTCCCTGTTCTACAGTGTTTCTCCCTGACCCAGAGGTGGTGTGGTTCTCACCGGCTGCTCAGCTAATCTCGGAGCTCATCAACCCTGGCATTTCAGGAACACATTCCAGTCCCACTCCTGCCTCGTTGTCTTGTTCAGACTCAGAGCCTGACATTTCTAGCCTGCTGTACTTTAGGAGAAGCAGGCCCAGTTCCCGTGCCAAGGGCACCAAGCGGGCAAGGCTGCATGTATTGGAAAGCCATAAGAGCACATTTGCGCAGCTGGGAAAGGTGGGGAAACCAAGAAAGTGGGGGGAAGGCCCCCATATTTGCACACATTTCTGGAACTACCTTTTATGAAAGGTAGTGAGCCAGTGACCTTGCTCCAAATACTCCTTGGGCATCAGAGGAGGGGCTCTTGTGGGCAGCAGCACAGGCAGGGTTGCAAAGAACAGCAGTGGATTTTCACAGCTCTTTCTGAACAGTCCACTAGCTGATCCCCACAACTGGCACTGAAATTGCCCTGTTGGGGTTGAAAGAAACCCCCTTGGCCCTGTTGTGGGTCAGAAAATAATCCATGGGCTGCCATGGGATGTCTTGGTCAGCAAACGAACTAGCTGCATTGCAAGAAGCAGTCTGGGCTTGAACAAATGGCAAGTCACAGTGGCTGGATGCTCGCCGCGTGTGGCTGTGTCATGTGGGCCCGGGCAGTCGCTCTGCCCACCATTGCGTGGGCATCGGTCCCACCCAGACCGCACTAGTGCAATGTGCTCTTTGTGCAGTCGCCACTGAAGAGTCTTCAGAAGCTACCATCAGTGCAGACTGCTGCGGTGTGCACTAGTCAGAGGACATTCCTCTCGTATTATTCCTCCTGCCTTTTTGAAGTTAAGGTTAAGTTCAAAGTACTTGTTAAGGGTAATGCAAACTACTCCTGTGCTCTATTAGATAGAAGAAAAACCTGACAATTCCCAGCGTTCCCCATCCATGAAACCCTTCTTGTAACAGGGACACAGACTGGCTCTTACGTATATTTTTGATCCTCTGAACAGGGCTGCTATAAAGCATCAAAACCGTTCTGCCTTCCCTTGGCAGCAGATTTTGGATCTTCTTGTTCTCACATGAAGCCACATAGGTCAGATTGTACCAGGAGTGAGAAGGAGCTGCTTCATGCTTTCATGCTCTGCCTTTCATTTTCCTTCCTCTGAAGTGATCCATTGAAACCCCTCGGAAAAAAATTACCAGTGGCTGGCTCTGGCACTGTGCAGCTTTCCTGTTTTGCAAGATGTGAATGGCAATTTTTCAGTAGGGCATCACCTACCAATAGTTGGTCCTATGAAACTCCCATTGTAAGATGATTTAGGGGTTGTGCTGATGTTCCCACCAGACTGTGTCTCAGATTGCTCACTGGCAAGGTAGTTTCCGCTGAGAATTTTTCCTTGTCATTATTCACCTGGCTTTTCATTCTTCTGTTTTTGATCCCCTTGTCAAGTGGTTCACTGCACCCCTCCCACTTTTTTTTGAACAGAGAAAATATTTGAAGCGTCTGTATGAAATTCGTGGTGTCCTTGAGTCTTCAGACTTCTTCAAACGGCATGAGGTGAGTTGTGGCTGGCAGACTGCTCCAGAGTCCAGCGCAGAACCATATGGAACATCTTAGTGAATCACATCCATTTCCATAATATGGTAGCCATGGGAAATACTGGGTGTGTGGAGTGCCTGGAAGAAATCTGAAGGTTCCTTTGTACAAACCCTGTTCTCGAGGCACTTTCCCACCTTCTCAAATGCTTTATATTAGCGGTGTCGGACATCAGTCCCAGGGACCAAAACCAGCATACCTGTGATCTCATTCTGGTCCTCCTTGTTCACCAGACGGCCAAGCCCCCTTCCCCTGTTCCCACTGGGTCCCCCCCCCCAATTACCAGTTGTTTGGTGGTTTCCAGATTCTGTGCAGTTCTACCCCCATTCTAAAAACTTAAATGCCTCTTGTAAGGCTTGCTTACTGGTGGTAGGAAATTTATGCCAAATATGTGATTTCCTTGGCTGTACCCCTTTCGCCTTTTGGCTCACTTCCCCCAAAATGCAGCTGTTGAGAGCTGCTCCAGAATGAATTGATCCTTGCGTAGAAAGATGTTCCATGGTCCCCTGTGTATGCATCCGTTCAAACCCAGATGATGCTATGCAATCAAAAGCAAGCGGGTGTGGGGGTGCTCTGAGGGGGTGTGGGCAGTGGAGTCTTGCCACACATTATAGGAAAAACTTTATAGATGACCTAGAAGTGGCTTCTGTGGGTCACTTCACACATCCAAGATCATGTTGAATGTGATCTCCAAATGAGCTGTCTCAGATCAGACATCACAAACAAAAGATTCTCATTGCCTTGAACCCAGTGACTTTCAACTAAGTGACTCACATTCAGCTGAAGGACTTGGAGGGATTCTTGTCGTTACATTCTGCTAAGCCATCTCCAACATAAGGTGACCCTAAGAGTGAAGGCGTTCCAGTGTCCCGTCCTGCTCAGCTCTTGTAAGCTCAGGGCTGTGGCTCCCTTTATCGAATTGACCGATTTCATAGTTGGTCTTCCTCGTCCTCGTCTGCCTTTGGAGGAGGCACATATTGCATTTTTCCAGTGCTGAAGTTGAACCTGAACTGTGTATAATCCTGGTGAGTGTCATGCATTGTATGAGCATGCCAACACACTGTTTTTGGCCATTCTAGCACTCCATAATGCAACAGAGCATTAAAACAGTCGCATTTAGCTTTCAGACAAGCTAACTTTGATCCTTTTAGTGCTGCATAGCATGTCCATCACTATATATTGCTGGTGCATTTGCTCTTCAATTTAGGGAGGATGACGTCAACAGCAGCAAATGACCTTACAAATAACAGCAGGTTTGAGGGGCTTTCGCAAAATGGTTATTAGTCTCTCTCTCTTTTCTGTGCAGGTAATTGGAAGTTCACTGCTGTTTGTGCATGATGACAGAGGACATGCCAATATATGGCTCATAGATTTTGGAAAGACTACGCTTCTCCCAGATGGACAGACCTTGGATCATAGGATCGCTTGGCAGGAAGGAAACCGGGAGGATGGCTACTTATTTGGACTGGACAATTTGATTAATATTTTAGAAAGTATCTTGGAGAGATGAGAGAGACTGACTCAGGGTCACTGAAGGACTGCTCCGTAAAGTGTAACTTTTCCAGAATCAATCCCTCAGTCAGAGGGAAGCTCCTTGCCAGAGTTTGGGGGACATCAGGAACTCAGGGGACATCAGGAAACAGGTGCCGGCTGCCAAAAGAGATGGGAACCGAGAACCCGTCTGTGATGATCCCTGGGGGACCTGAGCAATCCATGGTTAGCAATGAGTTCTCAATGCTAGCTTCAGATTAATGGAACAAACAGAATGAATCCTGAACATTTAGACATTGGACTGGGCCAACTGCTTACTGGTGAACCAAGTAATTCTGGGTTGCCTTTTAGTGACCAAGAGTAAAAGTTGCTTGGAGGATGTAAGATGGAAAAGATCAAAGGGCTCCTCTAAAAGGAGCCGTCTTCAAAAATAACCGACATGCATCCTTATTCACTCTAGTGCATAGACAGGGATGTTCGCATTCCATGCATTCACTTGTGTGCCATACAGCTTGGAACTTGATATAGAATTTATAGACTCTCAGCCTTCTTTTTCTTAATATAAAATCTAGTTGCCATGGTGATGCAGGAAAGTTTGATAGTGCTCACAAAGTGTTGCTGTAACTTCAGAATCCAAAGGTTACCTTGGGCTTCTAGGAACCAATGAAAGGGCTTTTGCACCCGGTGCAGCTACTTGTTTGCTCTATACCCTTTTGTGCCTCCTCGTCTCTCTTCTCTGCCAGTCCATGTTTGCTCTCCCTCTTCCATCATTTGCATTTCTACGCCAGTCCTTGCCAAAACATTGTGCAACTTTCCAGCACAAAAAACAAACCCCACCCAAAAAGTGGATACAAATGTAGTACGAACTTAGTATCTTTGAAACTCAAATAATTGTGGGCAGGATTGCAGTTCTAAGAAAAATCCATGTGAAAGACATGAATCAGCATGAGCTCAGAATTTGGTTTGAATGACTGTCCTTCCCGTGCTTACTGAGCTGTCTGGTTTTTACTTTACCTGTTGGAGAGGAGCTGTCCTACCTTCAGGAAGTAAAGGCTAAAAATGAGGGATTCTGATTTCCCTTTGGTATTGCGTTAGTGTCTCTTGATGATTCATAGTATGTTCTAATCTTCACCTGAGACTGTGCTAAGATCACTACACATTCCCGAGAAAGATCACCTGTGTGTTCTGAAGGCGGTTTAGGCACTCTTTGGTGGTTGGTGATGGCCCAGTTGACCTCTTGCCAGCTGGCTTGAATTTACTAGCAAGCGGATTGCTTGTTAGTAAGTGAAACAAGTACTAACAAATGCTGTTGACACTGAAGTGCTCCACATCCGAGGCGTCAGAGCCTGAGTTGTGTTGCTTTGCTTGCTAAATGGTGCTACTTCTTGATTCTTCCAGATCTGCCACTTTTACTTGAGTTTATCAGCAGAACTCTGCAAGCATTAAAAAAAGTTATCCCCATCAGAGAGCAATGTGTTGTGGACCTGAGAGGTGTAACACACTTCACTGGGACAGATTATTAAAGATCGGCTATCGAATGATTGTGGTATTGGTCCATTCCAGGCAGGTCTTTCTGGAATAGGGGTGAAGTTGTAAAAAGTTTGCCTTCGACTTCTCTTGTCTGAAACCATGCAATGCCAAAATGGTCCATTTAATGACTACAGGTCCCCTCAAGATGAGGAACAGTTGGACCTGAGACCTGATAATCTCCACAAGCCCAAGATTCAAATGCCAGATTTGTACAGAAACTGAAAGTAGTCTCTCTCTCTACAGCAACTGGTTATTTTAACAGTTAACCTGATGTCAACTGTGAAGATGATGGTTTATGTGATAGGGAAATGCTGTCGTACAAATGCCTTCTTCCTGAAAGAAGAGCAGAGCTTAAAGCCACAATTCATGGTGGACTGATCCCTGAGAATGCATTCTTCTGTATTCACTGGCCCAGCCATTCAGTTCCAGAAATTCCGTGATGCTTAATGAGTCACTTCCTTCCTTATAGACTGTACTCCAGAGCTCCATCCATGCATATTCCATAAGAGGATGCAAGGAAACTAGTTGCTCTTATGTTGTAGCTCATGCGGTCTCTGTGTGGCTGTTCTGGTGAATCCTGCATGATGAAGCCTGCTGCATATTCCACCCCCCCCCCCCAGGGACTGTGGGCTCCTAGTGTGATTAACATTGTCATCATGTAGCCATGCACGAAACTTCAGTGGCCAGAATGGCTAAAATGTATATTTCCAATATTTATCCTCAAGCGTGTGGGGTTTTTTTGCCATGAGCACCCCACATTTGTTCACCTGTTCTCAGTTGGTGCGCTTTGCTAACAAAGTGAGACTTCCTTTCCTCTGCCATTGCAATCTTGTCACAAGACTGGCTTCAGTGGCAACAGCAGCTCTGTCCCTGCTGGCTGCAGAAGGTCTGCTGAGACTTCCTGATGGGGCTTGTTGCTCTCCCTGGTCAAGATTTGCTGATGTCAAGCTATACGAAGCTGTCACATGCAACAGAAAGAAGCTACTCCAGCTATTCTGGCTCATGCTTGTTCTCAGGAAATGCACACAAAAGTGTTACCAAATTCTTGACCAAAAGGTTACAGATTGCTTAAAACATTTATTTGTTTTGGAATTCAAACCCAATGCTCAAGAGGTTTCAATTGTTCGTAGCAACCCTTGACTGGTGATTTATTAAAGCAAACGAAGATTGCAATTCGTCGCTAATGGGCCATAGTTGAAGAAACATAGGAGAAGGTTAAAAAGCCATCTAGCAGAGTGGATGAAGTACGATTTTGAATGCTAATTAGAAACAAGATTGAAAATAGTGATTACTAAAGCATCATTTTATTTTTTGAAAACATCATTCATCTATAAAGGCCCTTTACTTATTTAATGGGAAACCACTCGCATATCTATACCCTGCTGCTGCTTGTGCATGTGAGTGTTGGAAAGGAGGCTGGCCAGCCGCACGCTGGTATGAGCAGCAAACCTGTTTCCAAATAGTCCCTTTGCTCTACTAGAGGGCCTGCTTTACAGTAGTGGTCTCCAGATGGTGGTTTGCAAGGGATAGCTGACAGCCCGATGCCCTCCACATGTTTTGTACCACATACCCAATCAGCCACAGTTAATGTGGCTAATCACATAGGGTCATGGGAGCTGCACTCCAGAATTACCTGGATAGCACTAGCTTGTGCCCCCCTCCCCCAGGTTTGGAAGGGAGTCTTTGCGGAGGGGTGTGCGTGGTGAGATCTTGTTGCTTGACAGTCTTTATTTGGGCCTATCCCAAAGTTTCAAGGTGGGTTCAGTATAAAAGCAAACAAGCAATCAGCATTACACTACAACAGTACTGCAAGCAACATTTAAAAAAAACCCCTCTCCCTTCTCTATCCCTGCGGAGACAACACTTCCTCACTGTGGTCACCATGCATCACACACATGGGTGCTGCGCCCACGCAGTGCCACTTTTGGGAAGATTGCTCTAGCTGAGCCTAGAATTTTTGGCGGGAGCCCTGCCCACCCTCCCCATTATATGACTAGGCGGGCTCCTGCCATTTCCCCAGTTTCCTTTCAACTGCTGTTTGCATGGGGATCCCTAGCTTTCAGTGTCCTCAGCATAGCTGTTGAGAGGACTGGCCTTCCACACCCAGCAGCCCCTCTTCCATCTTTGCCAGCTCTGTGGTTTACCCAGCTGCAGTGCTGCCTTCTGCTTCCCTTCTCACCATCACGCCAGCCAGCCCGGCCTGGGTTTCACAACGTCTACAAGCTGGTTTTGGTTGCCTTGACGATCGTGTCCCTTGCCTTGGCCTAGAGCACCAGACTCCTGCTCTTCACCTCTGCCGTTCTCAGCAGCAGGAATGGCAGGAAAGTCTTGCCCATCTGTTGCTGATGTTTGGAACTGCAGAAGGCAAAGGTGACTCTTGAAAAGACCTGATCAAGAGAGCTGGTGACTTGTACTTTTATTTCAAATGGAAAAGGAAATTGTATGCTGGAAACTGGTGAAGGGAGAAAATAGGTGCTATAGAACATTGTATGGAGCTGGAAGAGCAGAACAGCGCCCCCCAGTCTGTGGATCCATCTTTTTCCGCCGCTTTAAAATGCAAATGGAGACATGCCTACCTCACAGGGTTGTTGTGAGGATCCATATGCTCTTTTAATGCATGTACTTAGATTTGTGGAAGAAAAGTGCAATACAGAGAACTGTATGGAATTTGTGTAACTATGAAACAGAAGGGGTCATGAGCCATTAAAGGATTTAAAATTGTGGAAACTTCGATCCAGAAAGGGCAGTTGTACCTTTGAGATTCAGTGAGAAAATTTTACTAAAGGGCTGATCCTCTCCTTCTGTTGAATTCCATGAGTAGACTTGAGTGATGGGGGATCATTTTTCAAATGATCATGAGCCCGGTCTGTGCCCATCTAGTCAGAAAAAGCCTTAGGACTTTTTCTGACTGAGTAGGCATAGAATTGTGCCTTATTTTGGCAACAGTTCTACTTTTGACTGCAAACCAGACAAAAAAAGCTTGTTTCATCAATAGAGGATGTTGCTCTGAACACTAAAGTGCAAACAATATACTGATTCTGCCATCTTAACTATATAGATTGAGAACCTTAGTATTTCCAAGATGTGCTATAAGAAATAAATTTAACTGAAAACGCACCCATTCTGTGTTTATCAGAGGCTTTTGTGTCTGATGCATTTAATCCTTTTATTTTTGTGAGGATTGACAGCTAAGGGCAAAGTGAGAGGAAACATGAAATGGATCCACATTCTAACAATAGCACCAAGAGCTGGGCAACTGCTAATTTTAGGGATCACAGCCCTGGTGCTAATCAGGGGTTTCCTTTAGTGAAAAGAGCAGCTTCAGAGGATGGTTGTCCTTGGGTCCACAGCAGGACGGGCAATGGGTCAAGCCCCACCACCAATCTTCACCTCCTGGGATTCCATTCAGAAGATACTATTGGCATTTATCCTGCATGTTTACATTTTTAATGCAAAGACACATTTTCATCCCTAGTCCTAGCCTTCAGTTCTAGCTTTTCACTTTTAAAATTGTAACGTAATATACCAAACTGACCTTACTTTCTCTTGCTGTTCAGCATCTAAAGGATACAGTGAAAGGGATCTCGGGGTGCTGGTTGACTGCAGGCTAAACATGAGTCAGCCGTGTGATGTGGTGGTCAAGAGGGCAAACGCCACCCTTGGTTGCATAGCCAGAAGTGTGGCTTCTAGATCGAGAGAGGTATTACTACCACTCTACATGACTCTAGTGCGCCTGCAACCGGAGTAGTGTGCTCAGTTTTGGGCCCCTCGTTACAGAAAGGATATAGCCAGGTTAGAGTCACTGCAGCGCAGGGCCACAAGGTTGGTGGCCGGTTTGCAGGGAAAGCCGTATGAGGCGAAACTGAGGGAACTGGGTCTTTTCAGCCTGGGGAAGAGAATACGCTGAGGGAATCTGTTGGCGACATACAGGTATGTGAGGGAGTGTCACACGGAGGTGGGTAGAGACCTGTTCTCCCCTGCAGAGGAGGGCAGGATGCGCTCCAACGGAGCAAAGCTCAGGGAACCGAGGTTCCATTAAGATTCCAGGAAGCACTTCCTGACAGTTAGGGACTCCGAGGGTATGGAATGGGCTTCCATGGGAGGTGGTGGAGGCCCCATCGGTGAGGGTGTTCAAGGATAGGCTGGACATGCACATGGTGAACAGGTTGTGAGCAGAGCTGGCTGAGCCAGGGGTCAGAGTAGATGGCCTGGGAGGCCCCTTCTGACTTGCTCTGTTTCTATGTCTTATGCATGTTTAGATGGAGAGGTCTTTCTGTCTAACATGCATAGGATTGTGTCCTCAACAGTTGAACATTAATGGCTTGGCTACTGTTTTATAACGACAAGCTGAATGCAGAGAATTGGTTTTGCTAGTTAAGCGTGTAAAGGTGTTTAGTAATGCTTTTGGGCTTATTCCCTTTTATTTGAAGTGACAGAAACATTGGTCAGCAGTATGTGAACATTAACAGTAGTTGAACAATACAAGCATTTTCCTAAATGCTAAATACAAATGTTATGTTTGAGCATTACAGCTGAATCAGAGATGAAATCTTTCTTTTCAGAAATGACATTCCTCTTCTTGACTCTATGCAGTTGATTGTTAACAGAGAAGAGTAAAGAGTTGTGTTAGGATGTCTTTATTTCTGTGTTGCAAAATATAGACGTATACATCTTATCTGATTTGAAATTGCATAGAAGCAGGCTTGTTACTCACATATTTACAATGACCCCGAAAGGGCAAGATGACAAGCCATCTTACCATTCTTAGAGGTAATCACCTCTAAGATCAAAAGCAATTCATGTAAGTATAAAAGTGAAGAGGGTGGACTCACTCTCAGCTTCATCGCAGGATGCTGTTGTTTGGGGGCTTTTCTTGTGTCCTTGTCATTCCCTACTCAGTGTTTACATGTTCTCTAGATGCCAATTTTTCTTCTTTCTCTAACCAGCACTCTCAGCAATTTTCTATCGCAGCAGAAAGATGTAGCATTTAACTGTGAAACTGAAAGAAAGCAAACCTTTCTTTTGCATTATCCTGCTATTCTACAGTGCCACCTACATACGTACCATGTAGGGGAAAAGCAGGAAAAGACATACTTTTTCATGTTCAATTCTGTGTCAAAACCTTTAGTAGATACAGATGATCAATATCTGCCTCATGTAGAAAAGCTCTGAGGTTTCTGTGCTAGCACAAAAAAGGGGGAAAGGGAAATGGGGCTGACAGCAGCTGAACTGAGCAGAGGGGTAAGTGTTTTTAACTTGGAAGAGTGATGAATCAAGGTGGTAGATCAAATGGGGACTAGATAAAGTAAATGTGAAAGAGAACAGTACAGGACATAGTAGAAAGGGAAAATTGGGAAAAGAGGAAATGGTTTGCATGAGAAGTACTGAAGTCAAAGTGCAACCAGGAATTTTAGAAGGAATTGCACAGAAAACTGCAAAGCTTGGTGTGTCTTGGTTAGTATTTAGTAGCTTAGTAGTTACAAAGCCCCTTCTTTGGAGAGAGAGAGTTTAAAGCTTCAATTACACAAACAGAATATGGAAAATATGGTGAAATATCAAGGCCTTATTTTCCCAGAACAACAATATGAAAGCAAGAGTGTGGGAAAGTGGTCCTTAATTGAGCTTAGGAAAGAAAGACATTTGTAAGAATCCCACTGTTTTTGCACTCTCTGTTCTATCATCTCTTTCCCTGAACCAACACATGACCAATCTTACTCATGTATTGCATTTGGGCCCAATATATCTCCTTCTGAGAGCCAATAGAAAGAGGCTTATTAGTTCACAAGGGTGATGTAAGATCTACTCTTCTATGATGAAAATGGCACACAAATATTCTACTTTATACCAAATTATAAGAGGATAGAGATCTCAAAGGTTCTTAACTGATAGTTCTTCCTTGTGTGGTTCTGAAGCAACATTGTGCAAAGAGTCTGTCTTCCGTAGTTTTAGGAAACTTCATACAAAATAGCAAAGCTCTTTTGTTTTTAAAAAAGCAAGTCTCCTGATTTGGAAAGCTGTCACATCACTGCAGTAAGAAGCTGACAGTTTCAAGAATCAATCCATTTGATTCTACTGGATCGTGTTTCTTATGGGGTGAGAGGGTGAGAGAGAGAGAGAGAGCAAGCACGAGCATGCACATCTGAGGGAGAGGAACCACCACACTTAAAGTGGTGGCTAGTGGCTTGCACCTCTGGGCATGGTGAGTGGCATTTTTTGTCTGAGGTTCCCTCCCCCCCTCAATTCCTTTCTCCTGCCATTCTTGGGGCATGTTGAGGGGAACAAGAGGGCTTTGGATCCAAAATTTCCTCAGCACATAGCATGCACCCTTTTCACTATTACTGCCACTGGAGTGAGAAGGAGGGCATGTTGGCATCCTTTGTGAGAGCAAGTGTCCTTTCCCTACTGGGTTTGATTTCTGCAGAGAGAGGGAAAGATCTGCTCTGTCCTGGGGCCCTGGGACAGGTTCCCAGGAACTGCAGGATTTGTCTTAAATGTATTTCCATTCAGAGTCTGGCTTAACAGGAATGCAACTTATATATAGCGTGAGGGAGAAGGTCAAGGAGACATAGACTATTCTGATCTGCAGGATAATAGGCATTGTGATGCTAGGGGCTTTGTATGGGCTTTAATTACCTGCTTCCAAGCCCTGCTTGCATGAACTGGAATACCATTATAAAATGTAATGGCCTTCTTCTGGAGGTTAAGGTAGTCCAAGGTCAGGAGAAAGTACCGTGTAGTAGCTAGGAAACTGCATGACTGAAGTCCTCAATTGTCTTTCCCCCTAGTGCATCTAGTTCCACATAATGGTCATGGCATGCATATATATCCTTTGTATGTATGTGACCTCTCAACACAAACTCCTTTTTCAGATGCGGAACTACTATACTGAATGAGGATTCAAATAGTCACGTTGAAGCAAGAGATCTTCCTGTACCACTGGATGATACCAAATAAGCAGATACATAAAACAAATGATGCTAATAAAAGATACCTTTTCATCTGTAGAGAAACTGGCACAATGGAACTTGCTTTTTGTCGGTGTGACCCATCAATTTCTTCAGTTCTCCACATTCCCACCAACATATTCTGGCACCGCAGAAACAGCAGAGCTTCTCTTGCGCACTGAGGCTACCTTTTTACTGACAGACACAAGCTACAGTTCTTCTGTTATGTGGGTAAGAAAACTTAGGGTGTAGCCAGGGCACAATCCTATGCAAGTTTAGGCAGAAAAATGGCCTGCAACTCTCAGCATGCACCAGCTATTTGCCTAGGATTGTACCTTTAGGCAACTTTGTCTCCAAGTCACTGGATTCAGGACAGGTGTTTTAGTAATCTGTGTCAAAGAACATTCTGCATTTGAAAAACACTACCTGCTCTTCTACTAAAAAGCAGAGACATCACCTTGCCAACAAAAGTGCGTATAGTCAAGGCTATGGTTTTCCCAGTTGCAATGTACGGCTGTGAAAGCTGGACCATAAGGAAGGCTGAGCACCGAAGAATCGAGACCTTTGAATTGTGGTGCTGGAGGAGACTCCTGTGAGTCCCTTGGACCGCAAGGCGATCAAACCGGTCAGTCCTAGAGGAGATCAACCCTGACTGCTCTTTAGAAAACTCAAATACTCTGGCCACCTAATGAGAAGGAAGGACTCCCTGGAGAGGAGCCTAATGCTGGGAACAATTGATGCCAAAAGAAGAAGGGGATGGCAGAGAATGAGGTGGCTGGATGGAGTCACTGAAGCAGTTGGTGTGAGCTTCAGTAGACTCCGGGGGATGACGGAGGGCGGGAAGGCCTGGAGGAATGTTGTCCATGGGGTTGTGATGGGTCGGACACGACTTCGCAACTAATACCAACAACACCTGCTCTTCAAATGAATGAGACATAGGAAGGTTTTTTTCCTTGTGTAAATGGGAGGGGGGAGAGATGAGGAAGTGTCCCTGCAATAAGTGGATACTGCAACAATGAGGCTTTCCATTAAGATCCGAGGCTGTTTCCAAGCAAAGGGCAGTATCAACACTAGTCCCATAGCCATGCAAAGAACTACCACTTCCAAATTGTGACTAGATGTCTCATTAATTTCAGTGGGTCTCCATGTTCCACTGACTTTAGATACTAGCCAGAGCTTCTAACATGCAGTGGCTCTGCCTGATTCATGGACTGTTTTAAGGGGTCCGCATGATAACATCTGCCCAGTCCCATTTTTTCCATCCCTTTTTTTCTTTGCACAAGAAAAAGAAAAAAAGGAGGAAAAGATGCGATAGTTAGCAAGCATCCTTGCAGAGAGCTCTACTCTGGCTCTGAAATAAATCAACGTGATGTCAATGTATCTTTTCACGTCCTGTGCCACAGCTCAACTTGCCAGTGGAAAGTATATGTCACAAGACCCACTCCTAATAGCTACCTGGTAATGCAATTGGAACAAACATCTTTCTTCACCTCTTAGCTCCCTAAACATCAAAATGCGTCATTCTTTCTCCAAGCAATAGCCGTTGTTACTTCTCACCTTAGAAGTACCCTCATGTTACACACATATAAAAAATGCATCCTAAATCTTCAGTTTAAAAAGTACTATTACCAGAGTGTGAATTCCTACTGTGGAATAAAGAGTGCTTTTAAGAACAGTTCCATGTAAGTAAAGTTCATTACAAGAAGTCCAGTTCATTATGAATAATGCAGTGCAATTCCTGAGACCGCTGGGCCAGGCATTGGGAAGTGAACTGGACTGTCCTGCTGCTTTCAGTAAAGTTAAAAGAAATACCATTTACTCCTTCCAATTCTTTTGCAGGAGAATCAGTTTCTGAGGTTTTTATGCTTTGTGCCTTCCTTAACTTTGACTCCTTTTTGTTCGGAATACACTGGTCTTCCTTTTGTTTTTGGATCTCGTGTCCAACACAAACCCAGCTGAGTCGATTTTTTACTCAATACACCAGCCTAATTGATGGAGCTACAATATTTTAGAGGATACTGGCCTCTGTGCTAGCTCATAGTTTTGCCATGTCTGACCTATCCTAGTGAATCCCAATTACAACTTTTCACTGGCGGTAAATGGGTGTGACTCTCTCCACGGGCCCTGAACATTCTAGCAAGGACACCAGTGCAGCCTGTAAGCACCGGCTCAAGAGTTTGAAACCACTTGTATCCTTCTGAAGTACTTCCCAGACCACTCTTGTTACCGGAGGCCAGAGCAAGATAACATGAATCCCTTTGTTCTAGAGCGTGGAGGGTGGGAGGAAGACAGCAAAGGTCATTTTAATTGCTCTTGCGGACATACTCACTCCCAGAGCGAAGGCCTGACCCTTCGGAAGAGCATTTCCTGTTATACAGGTGTAACGCTCAGGTCATCGGACAAAGAGAGGCCAGAGTCTCTCTCTCTCGAGGTTTTTTCTGGCTTAGAGGGAAGCTTGCCATTTCTGTGCAGACTGGCACTCCTCAAGACTGGGCCGGACTCGGCTGCCAAAGGCAAAGGCTGACCTGTTTCGTAGCAGAGATCATCGTAAGCGTAGTTCACATTGCCACAGGGGAAAGTCTGTAGCTTCACCAGTTCAATCCCAGCAATATCGATGTGAGGAGAATGGCTTTGGCTTGGAGATGAAGGTGACGCCCGAGAACTAGGAGAGGAGCTGCAGGTCCCATCAAACCCCGAATCTTCTCGCTCTTGTGCTGGGTTAAGTTTGGAGCTGGAACTGGGCTGGCAAATGCTCTCTAGGACCCAGGACCCATACGTTGGGTTCCAAAGGTTTTTGGTTTTATTCTTCAACTTGTGTGCAGGCTGACTGGTGGAATCGAGTTTCTGGCTTAGGGCTGGCTGAGCCCATGCTTCGCTGCTGGGGTTGCTGCAGCAAGGCACGCCTGGTCCTTTGGTGGCCCAGTCACCCAGGTTCTCCACCAGCAGCTCCTGCGGGCATTGCCCAGGTTTGTTCCCTGAATTACAGCCTTCCAGTGCCGTGGGGTTCGCTGGAGGTGTGACGGAAGGGCTCCCGCGCAAAGGAACCATCCCAGTGGAACCGCTTGCATGCAGCACGGCGTTTCCCTCATCCTCTGCTGTTGGGCTGCATTCGATGGGCAGCTCTGTATTGATCACATCAGGATCCTGAAAGATAAGCAAGCGTGTTGGATTCCTCAGGCAATATTAACGAATTACATGGTTTTACATATAGAAGCCCAAAGGAGATATTAATCCCAGAATGCTGCCGAGACCTCTTGTGCTGTCAAATGCTGACCTGCAGTGCCACTCAGTGCCAGCTCCAGGATTCTAAGTGCAAGACACCCTCAGGGCCCAGGACCTCAGGCTACCGACCTTCTCACCACCACCACCACCAGCTGCTCTTACTCCTCAGCCTCTTTCTCTTCCTCACTGCCACTTGCCAGACAGGCAGGCAGAGACACCTCTGCTTCCTCCTGCTCACCTCCACCTATGTCAGGCAGGTGAAAAGCAGGCTGCAGCAAGGAAGAGTCACTTCTAGGGAACGCTCATCTGTGGGATTCTAGTCACCTTCCTACATTCTTATGGGGCAGGAGAAGGCAAGATGCCACGTGTACATGAGGGATGGCTGATGAGACCCTTGGGAGCCCAGCAATGGGCCCGTTTAAAGGCGGCTGCATTTCACAAGCAGAGAGCTCACCTGTGTGCAGTATTTGATTCTTTCCAGAATGGTGGAGAAGTTGGGTCGGTACTCAGGACTATGCTGCCAGCACTGTGTCATGATCCGGTAACTTAGGAGAAGAAATTAAAGCAACAACTCAACATCAAAAATAAGAGGGAGGAAAATGGCCAAGTTGCATTTCCCCTTTCCCTCAGGAGGCTGGAGTTTGCCCCTCAAAGCAATGACTTGAACCACGATGGGTTCAGGAGAGTACAGATTGCTCAGAATCTGTTTCTCAGTGGAGATGTCTGGAGCGACCTGTGTGCAAAGAGGCAGAAATCACAGAGGCTCTCTTTTATGGTAGACAAATTCCCAGCTGGTGGTCAAGTGGCCAACTCACATGCCAAATATTTGCCATTAATTAAAAAAGGGAGGTGCAGAAAACTGTTGGAGCAATTTCATTACAGCACCTGTAAGGCAGTCTATCCTATTTTGCCTTGCTAGCGTCCTTGTAAAGGAGAAACACTATTAAAGAAACCAAAGCTCGTCTTCGTTCCCTCACACTCTGCAAACTGGCATAAATCAGTATGATCTGCAATTTCTGCAATGTATGTAGGTGGTAAATGCAACATTTAACAGTTACCAGGTTTTTCTAATCTGAGTGGGCTGTCTGAAGCCTGTGGATGTTGTCTCCTCAGTGCAGTCCTCATCCCCAAGTCTCTGCAAATATTTCTGTCTTCTCTTTAAGAAGCAACTATACTCACACTGGCCCAGGGCAGTTCTTTGGTGGATCCATTCGCCCTCCACTGGTAACAAACTCTAGCACTTCCTGGTTGGTTTTGCAAGGGTACGGCATGTAGCCCAAGGAGAAGATCTCCCAGAGCAGCACTCCAAAGGACCTAGCAGGGAACCAGCGAAGAGAACCCATTAGCCCCTGCTTGGTAGCGTGACTGAAGGAGAACCATGGGCACATGCTGCTGCTCCGGCGACCACCACCCTGGCCGGGCTGGGTCTCCCTCAGTGGAAGCCCGAGGGAGAGAAACCCTGTGGGAGCACCACTTGAAGGGGATACGCAGCCAGGTGATTCGGGGCTTGTGACGCACACAGTGGGGGAAGCAGATGTGCAGAGGGGTTTCTTCTGTTCTCATACAACCAGAGGCTGAATAGTGGGGGATTCAGGACAAAGGCCAGAGAGGCTTCTTCACCCGGCAAAAACTTGAGTTATGACATTTGCTTCCTCAGGATGGGGTGCTGGCTGTCCCCCTGCATTGCTTCAGAAGGGGAACAGACAGATGTATGTAGCATAAGGCTGCCCACGGCGACTAGCCTTAAGGACTTGCACACTCCTCAGGACTCATTACCGGGAGGCTGCACTTGCACCCGTATCCTTCTGTGGGCCTTTGGAGGCATCTGTTTTGCCCCTTCCAGAACAGAGGGCTGGACTCGGCAGACCTTTGGTCTGACTCAGGAGGGCTCTTCTTGGGTCCAGTGATTGCAAAGCGCTGCTGAAATTCTCTGAAATTCCAACTCAGAGTTCACAGAAAGACAGCTGGTGAAATGCTGTTTCCTCAGCAACAACCTGGCACTTCTCACTAAGGCTGGCAACAGTTGGAACTCACTGGGCACGCTTTAACGTACTTAACTAGCTCCACATTCTGGCTGACCACTGGTCTTTCTAGCTCAAGAACTGTCTGCACTGACTGGCGGGTTTCCGCTTTTGTCACGTTCTCTGGAGAAGCACAGCACGGGACCCAAGTCCTCCGGTGTGCAAAGCTCGTGCCGTCCCGGCGAGCCATTGCCCTCCCTTAAGCAGCAGGGGAGCAGAGTGCGGTTCTGACAGTCCCCTGAAAGCGGCCACACGCCCCCTTTTCCTGCCTAGAAAGCTCGGCTGTGTTCCTGCACTGCAGTTTGCTCCAGAATGGGTGCCCTTTGTTTTTGCTTTTGAGGATCTAAATGATGCAGCTTTCAAGCTGCTGTTCCAGTATGTGCCCCCCACCCCCCGTGCGGCTTCTGCTCCCCTGAGTGCATCGCAAAATGACTTCTTGAGAAAGACTAGACTAGCAACAACACCTTCCCAAGGGGCAGACCAGCTCAGCACTCGCTTCGAAGAGGCAGGGTGCTGATGTGGGCCAGCGGAACCTTCTCGCCTCTTCAGCTTGGCCCATCTTCATTAAGACTATCTGCTCAGTGCCTTTTTAGCAGCACGCTTATTTCCACTTTACTGAGTTTTCAAATATTTCAAACTGAAAACTGAGTTTTCAAGTATTTGCACTCATTTGCCTACTTAACAAGATTAAAATATTTACCAAAAGCACTCAAAGGAAAAGGTGAAAAAGGTAAAGGTTTCCCCTTGACATTAAAGTCCAGTCATGCCTGACTCTAGGGGGCGGTGCTCATCTCCGTTTCCTAGCCGAGGGAGACAGCGTTTGTCTGCAGACAGTCTCCATGGTCATGTGGCCAGCATGACTAAACACTGAAGTGCACGGAACGCTGTTACCTGCCCACCGAAGTGGTACCTTTTTATCTACTTGCATTTGCATGCTTTCGAACTGCAAGGTTGGCAGGAGCTGGGACGGAGCAACGGGAACTCACTCCGTTGTGCAGATTCGAACCGGTGACCTTTCGATCAACCAGCCCAGCAGCACAGCGGTTTAATCCACTGTGCCACCTGTATCCCTAAGAAAAAGGTACTTATGTTCAAATTTAAAATCACTATTTTTAAAACAAGCATTGTTCAACCCACAATTGTGACTTAAGCTAAAAATCCTATGCACATTTGTCTGGGAGTGAGCCTTACTGAACTCAGTGGGGCTTATTTCTGAGTAGTTGCACACAGGATTGTGCTGTTAACTTTTTTTTACCAGGTGTCAGTTTTGGATGTGAAGATTCCTTCCAGGAAAGCTTCTGGGGGCATCCACTTGACTGGGAGCATGGCTCTTCCTCCTTTGCGATAGTAGCTTGCTCTGCTCGGGCCAAAGAGAGAGGAGAATTAACGTAGAAACATAAAAACAGAGCAAGTCAGAAGGGGTCTCCCAGGCCATCTAGTCTGACCGCAGGCTCCAGCCTACTCTGCTCACGACATGCCCACCATGTACATGTCCAGCCTAGCCTTGAACACCCTCACTGATGGGGCCTCACCATGGAAGCCCATTCCATACCCTCGGGGTCCCAACTGTCAGGAAGTGCTTCCTGGCATCTAAATGGAACCTTGGCTCCCTGAGCTTTGCTCTGTTGGAGCACATCCTGCCTTCCTCTGCGGGGAAGAACAGGTCTCTACCCACCTCCATGTGACATCCCCTCACATACCTGTATGTCACCAACAGAAGCAAGAGAAGTCTGCGAGAAGGAGGTTGTATGAAAATACAAGGCCTCATCTTTCCTACATTGCAGCATTTTTCACTGCAAAGTCTACCTGATGCCATTTCTAATTTACATTTTCAGAGATGCAGGCCAATTAAGCAATACATTTCCTGCACCATATGAATGGAATGGAACTCCATTCAGTCCCCCTTCCCCTTATTGCTTTTCTTTCTTACCTGTAGATATCTCGAGCCATTCCAAAGTCCCCGATTTTGGCCACTCGCTCAGGTCCAGTGCAAGTCAGAAGGCAGTTTCTTGCCGCAATATCTCTTTTGAAAGAGCAGACACTGATAAGGCGGAAGCTAGTGATCCTGAATCTTAAGTGGGCACCATAAAAAGCACTTCAAGAAAACCTCCAAGCATTACCTAAGTGGGTCATTTCTGCAAGGACAGGCCCTGTTGTACTGCTTCCAAGTTACTTACATCTCCTCATTCAGTTGCCATTTACCAGTAACAGACTCTGTGCTGCAACTTCAGAGACTGTAAAAGGGGGATACCAAATGCTACATGTCCCTTTATTTTGGACTGCTGCACCTTCACAGAATCAGAGCACAAAGCAGAGTCGGGCTTCCCTTTGGGCAAGGTGGCCGTGGGGTGAAAAAGGGCCCTTGCAATTTGCCCCATCCATGTGATTCTGGTCTTCACATGCATCCTACTGCTAAATGGGACCACACTACACAGAGGTGATTCCCAGGACACTGAGGGTGGGTGTCAAAAGGGCCACTGAGAAAAGCTGCAAAGCGGCTCAAGAGACTTCCATTTATTTCTGTCCCCACTGCATCAGGGGAAGGTATTGAGTGAAGCATAGTGAAGGTTTCTGTACTGATTATGCATAGCAACAGGATGCAACCAGTAATAACTGCAAGAGGAAAAACACCAAAACAGAACAATTTGGCCACTGCAGGCCACACAAATGAACCAAATATTCTATTAACATTCATGCTTAATTGTACGTTTGGAAGAGCAGACCACCCTGAGGCAAGGTTTATGGTTTAAGAACACCCCCACCCCATTTGTTTGGTTTTTAAAAATCTAGTTCTTTCACATACAGTTTAGCACTTAAAGTGGTGAGCGTTGCTCAAGTGGTATCTCCAGTGGAAAGAGGGTCAAAATCCTATCCTGATCACTTTTATCCAGTTGACTCCGTTGGTGCCGGAATAAGCAAGCTTTTACATTAAACTGCATTCCTAAGAAGGGAAAGTCAAAAGGGACACCATTCTCAATAACCCCACTGGATAGGCTTCTGGATTGCATAGGCCTTTGGTCTGATTTAGCATGGTGCGTCTTTAGGTTCTTAACCCTTGTTGCAGATGCCAATATACATCGAGATCTATAAACATGTATCAACACACGAAGTAAATTCATCTGCTAAAGGGAAAAGAGACGGCAGGGAAGCACGTGACCTTCATCATATGATGCAACACTACCATCTAGTGGCCAAGGGAGAGAACCTCATAGAAATAAAAAATGGCGGTGTCAGGTCAGATATTTTGTATCAACATACGATGCTACCTAATACTGAGGCAGGCAATTGGTCTGTCTAGTATTGTCTGGTATGATTGGCCACACGTCTCTTCAGAATCCCTGGCAGGGGTATTTTAATGATAGGAGCCACCCAGAAAGCATATGGCTGGTGGGGCGAAGTTTAAATCAAATATATTTCCAGAGCACCTGCTGCCTGAACCTTTCAATGGGGAATACTGGGGTCTACTGGGGAGTGATCATCCCTCTTCAAAATATAATCAAAAGGAGGATGTGGCATTTATCTGTTTTCCACTGAAGTTCATGCTGACTGGCACATGCTGGGATATTTCCCATCTGCACTTTCATAAGAGTGTACCCTAAATCTCAGACACTTGTTCTGTCAAAAGCAAGTCAGAAACAGATTTCCCGGCCAGATAATACAACTCAAAAGTGTCTTTGGAGACATAAAAGGAGGGCTTTTATCTATGGAGGGCTGGTGCACTAAAGAGCACATTCATGATGCCCTGGAAAAGCAGCCAGGGAAAACAGCATGAGAATCACTGTATGGATGAAGCGGTTTACCTGTGAATGAAGTGGTTTTCCTCAAGATACGTGCACCCACAAGCAATGTCTCTAGCTATATTGAGCAAGTCCTGCATTGTCAACATGGACGGCTGATTCTGCATGAAGTACAGACGAGAAAGAGAAAAAATGAAGAAGCTTAAATATAGAAGACAAAACTTTGGAGTATAAGGAAACTGTCCTGTCATTAGTCAGTAGGAAAAGCCATGGTCAGGGCACCTGTGAAAGGACTTTTTCCCGTGTTACTCCCAAATTGTGGAATTCATCTGCCTCAGAGTCCCTCTCTGCTTATAGAAAGTTGCCAAGATATATATTTTTTTTCTTTCAAACAGGTTTAGGCTGCATTCCTGTGGCTTCCAGGTGTGGTCTGAATGGCCACAGAAGAATCTGGGGTCCCATCGCCCTCTGTGGAGATGGGCTCCCAAGTCAGAGCACCCGTCTGCATCCTCCAAGGTGGGTGCAGAAAGAACCAGGCTGCCTACAACTCCGGGCTCACAGGAGTGACGTGGATGGGGCATCTTGGGGTGGGAGGGGGTGGGAAAGGGAGGGAATAGGCTCTGGCAGCAGCTCAGTCTCCACTCTTTGCACTCGGGGTGTGGGGAAGACTTAGACACCCCAAACTGGGGCCTAAGTGTTTTGAAGGAGGGCGGGGGAGACACGTGGAGGAGGCACATGTTAGCAAGCATGCCAAGCAAGCTCTGGCCTTGAGCCACAGCATTGCTCTCATTTCTGCAAGTCTGCTAGCTTCTTGCTGCCCCTGTAGTGGCTCCTGTTAGCAAGGGGAGCACTGAATGCGGGCTGCTCCATCGTGACCATCACCTCCCCCCCCCCCCCCCCCCCCCCCCCCCGCACGCGCCCCGGAGCTGTTGCTTGAGGGGATTGCTAGCTTAAAGCGCCAACTGTATTGATCGGTTTCAGCTCTGAAGTCAGTAAAAAACAGCAGTGGAAATCCGCTCCTGCAAAAGGTGTAAAAGCAAATCAGAGCAAAGCAATCAGTGACTGAGCTGTGCAGCAATAGAGATGGCTTTTGGGTAGGGGGCAGCCCCTCTCTTGGCCTGAAGGCTGAATTCCCAGGTTGGAGGCACACCAGGACTGGGCTGGATTCAAAGGCTAGAGGGGAAGGGCCAACATAAAATTAATTTAAAAAACCCTGAATACTTTAGTCCAAAGCTCTTATTAACAGCAATTAAGCATTTTGGAGAGGCATTTCACCCTTTAAAAAGGGGGCAAAGGCTGCATAAAACCTGGGAAGCCATGGATGGCTGGGGAAAAGGGCAAGCGGGGCCTTCTGGGGAGGGCAGTGGGTGGAATGGGGCTTCCGAAGGACCCCAGGGCTGAAACTCTGCACGGATCCAGTGGAAGAAATAAGCAGGCTGGCTCCCTGAACCACAGTATGCCAGAAGGCATGCTTTTTCATCAAGCCCAACCTCTGTATCAACAGCATTATTGGGGGTTCAAGAATTAGCATGCCACAATATGCTAGATCTGTAGGCAGAAATATCCCTCTGAAGTTCTCTGTGGCTTTTCGGGTTGCTCTAAGGCAGGGGTCGGCAACCTTTAACACTCAAAGAGCCGTTTGGACCTGTTTCCCACACAAAAGAAAACACCAGGAGCCACAAAACCCTTTTGACATCTAAAATGAAGATAACACTGCATATATTGTTTTTTACCTTAATACTATGTATATCTTCATTATGATTTAGCTGCAGC